TGGAATTGGTTTTAGATAAACCATTTCTTTGCCAACGCACTGATTTCCAAAACTGAGCATGTGAAGTTCTAACAGTTTCCCTTCTTCTTAATAATTTAGTATTTTTATTTTCGTTGTCCACATTACTTGGAAATATAGCTTTTATAGATTAATTTCATTTTTTCTTTCCTCTACTTACTATTGTCATGAATACGCTTGGAGAGAGATGTCTGGAATATTTAATATTGGCTAAATTAAAAATAACTAAAATATTGGGAATTTTATACATCAGATTCCACATACTGTACAACTCCAAATTATCATGAATTTATCTAATCTTTTCAAGATATTCAGCATATAATCTAATACAAATATGGAGATTGACAACATTTAATCTATGCTTCTAATACATGAAAACCCTTATTTAAAACTTCCATTTTGAAGTATTTCAAGTATATAAATCAATCTAAGAACATGTAAATCCAGACAGCTGCGGTATTGGCAATTATTTTTTTGTTAGGCTTGTATCGTATCTTTAGCAAATATTTATTCTAAGTATTTATTATATAATGCAATAATGCTTGGAATGTAATACATCCAATGCTTTCCTTTGAACTTTCATCCTGAACTTTTTGCTATAAAAAGCACAGCAGAGGCCTTTAGTACTTTGACCTACCTACAGCAGTTCTGAAGTGCAAACCACATCTGTAGGTTTGCAGGATCCTCATCCCTGATTGAACCACCTTCCTTTTAGCTATGGGTGCCACCAAGAGAGCCAAGATGGATACACACAACACAGCACAAACCCATTCATGATAAATCAGAATTCAGGATTCTACCATAACATCATACATGAATGTAGTTACTCTAATTCTGGATTCTTTCTCCACTGATGTTTCACAAGTGTCTTGGGTTGTTAAAAAAAATAATCAAAAGAAAAGAAAGAAATATCTCCTTTAAACTGTTCATCACTGTGATTGGCCACAATAGACCGATGGTAGATAGACAGGATTCCCATGAACCCTAACCCTAACCTATATCATTTCAGACAAATCAATGTCCAATCTCTTCTTAAAAATGTCCAGTGTTGGAGCACTCATAACTTCTGGAGGTGTTCCACTGATTGTTTTGTTAGGAAATTTCTCCTTAGTTCTAGGTTGGTTCTGTCCTTAATTAGTTTCTATCCATTGCTTCTTGTTCTGCTTTAGGTGCTTTGGAAAATAAGTTGGCCCCCTCTTCTTTGTGGCAGCCCTTTAGATATTGGAACACTGCTATCAAAAAAGAGTGGAGACAAACCCTCATGAAGTTGTTTCTAACATCTTAAGGCAAACAGGTTTTTCCCTAGGGTAAATGTTGAGAGAAGAGATGTGGCTACATTAAGAAAGTGGACAATACCGATCACATAAGCCAGTCAATTTATATACAATCAGATTTGTTTTATCTGACTAAGTAGTACAAATCCATCCATGAGTAACTAACAATGCAGAAAGCTCACAATTCTGTTTTAAAAGTTCTTAGCCATTGTCTGAACTGGCTGAACTACAAACACAAGAATAAACCACAAGGTTGCACAAACAAATGTCTGACAAGTGAAATTGGTATATTGATATATACAGAAAGCACACAAGCTCAGGACGTATTCCATACTGAACCAAATATAAGTGAATATTATCTAGGACTCTTATGAATTATGCTAGACTATGAAGTGAACATTTGGTTAAAGTCAGAATATAAAATAGGATAAGCCATCACTGAAAATAAAACAGTTCATTTTCTGTATTTTATGAATGGCATAAAAACACAAATATATACAGGCAATAACTGCCATCCTTAAAAAGTATCTGTAGCTTCAGTATTTAAGATGTTGAAGTTTAAAGAATACAACACGTCAGAAGAAATATATATTTAGCAGCGGATGTAATAACAGTTACATCATAAGACTTGGCCTTTCCCATAGGAAAAAAATGTCTTAATTGCTGGTGCAGGTGGAAGGAAGTATGCATACAATATATATGGCATGAACAGCAGAAATACCCCTTAATTGATCAAAACAAGGATGCACAGTGAAGCTTTTGCAGCCCATCAGAGAATTAACAAGTCAGGTTTCAGTTTGTGGAACCATTAGTTTGCACAGGAAATTACAAGGTGCTTGAAACATTCAATAAAGTATATTCTTTTCAAAATCATGCTTGCTAACTATACCTACTTCTTGGTACAGTAATTAAAAGGTAACAGTGCACCAGAGAACACGTATTATGGAAATTGACTGAATTTATACCCCTAAGTGTGGAAAAAATGGAAAATGAAAGAAGACACAAAGCTCTAAGCCATTTTCTCATAAGTTTGAAAGTTCAAACACCACTGGATCAATCAATTTCTTCCACTGACCCATGTCCCATTATTATACTGAACAGCCATGATAATTTTTAGGTCATGGTCTCCCTCTATTTCACTTGATGTCATTAAGCTGTTCTTAAAACATCAGCACATGTTCACTACCACTTGTAAAATCCAACTTAACCTTTCTTTTCTTCCATTCAATTGTGCCTGATTCCCAGAGACTGCCGGGAGAAGTTCATATAGTTTTCTCGTCAAGGTTTTCAGAAGTGGTTTGCCATTGCCTCTTTCCTAAGAGAAAGTGACTGGTCTAAGGTCACCCAGCTGGCTTTATGTCTACACAAGACTGGACTCAGTCTCCCTATTTCTAGCCTGAGGCCTTAACCACTACACCAAACTGGCTGTCTTAACATAACTAACATAGAATGGTATGAAGAGAGCTGTTGAATAAAACCAAATATTTAACTTCTATTGTGTTCCTGAGTAACTCAAGATATGCCAAGAAAGCATCTATATGCAGGACATTAACATAATTGCAGTCTCCTGTTCATGGTGTCTATCCTCTGGCACTGAGAGGTATGACAACTTTAATTATGGTGTAAATGTACAATCATCACAATTATTACCATCCAATATTAGCTTTCTCTCTCGTATTATTATAGATCTGAAATTCTGAAAGATAGAATGAGGTAGAAAGGCAGTTCATATTTATGATTAAATGAAGAGTGAACCTTTTGTCTGAAATGGTATAGTTTCCTGCCTGAGCAGGGAGTTGGACTAGATGACCTCCAAGGTCTCTTCCAACTTATTATGAAACAAAGCATGAATGCTCACAATCTATCTTTCTATAAGCCAATTTAGATGCAGTTTCTCTAATTCTTCTGGAAAGAGAACGTTATTCATACAAATGTGCTGTGTCAAACACCCATCTTGAATGCTTTGTGAGGCCAAACTGAATATGTTCCTTGAACTCAGATTGATCATGCAATCAGAGTCACTTAGTTTTTCCACATGTGGGAAAGGAGACCTAACTTTTGAGACTCTTCACTCATGTTGTATCTACTCGATAATCA